TCTGGTACTTCTGCAACGAGGCATTCAAAGAGGGGGTTCTGGCAGAAACCATCGCGCTCTAACTCTAAATTGCACAAGAAAAAGTTATTCATATAGACATGTTTAATCTCTATTTTAACAGCAATAAAAAGCTCTCAAACAAGAAGAAACATCAAAAACATACATTTGAGAAACTGAATTCTCTTTAAAATTGTCTCTTCATTAATAGTAAGTAGTGACAATAACATTTTCTGAGTAGGAGAAGCATCAGGGTCTCTATTAAGCCAGTTGTGAATGACAGTCCTCTACTGTAATTTTTTCCAAAGGTATTAGCAGACTTTTACTTAAAAGGATGCTTTTGTGTCAAGCTTGGGGTCACAGTGTGTCGTCAACTTATGAGCACAATAGAAAAACACAAGATATCAAAACAATCTGGTTGTGTTTGTTTTTTAAAGACACTTAGTAATCCAGCTATCTTTATCTTATAATAAAAGAGAGATTGGATGTATTTCAAAAGAAGCTGCATGACAGTTGATAGGGAAAAGTACACGAAGAATTGCAGTTGACCGTATACACCTATATCTAAGGGACCTAATCCTAATCTTATTCAGTTAATCATTGTTGGACTAATTACCACTCGTTCTCACTGAGCTGCAGTTATTGTTTCAGCTAATAACTGCATCTAATATATGAATTTTATAGTTATATATAAATTCATCCTTCAAGGCAGCACATTTTAAATACCAACTTAACTAAAGGTAAAGAAGCTCATTTCTTTATTTTTTTTTTTACATTATTTAACAGCAAAAAAAGAAGAAACAAAAGAATGTTGTACCCATGAATAAATACCGTTTAGTGTGTTATTACATCTTCTAACGAACTAATGTTTGCTGGAAGATTAATTCCAAGTTCAATTCTAAACCTGGAATTCATCAGCTAAAAATACATCAGAACAGGTATCAGGTTTGGTGAAGCCACCATGCTGCCCGGCCATCTTGAATACAGTGACTGGCCAGGAAATTCTTTGAGGCCAGCCCCTGTTTATCAGAGGGAAAGTGTTATTTTTAGGACGCTCTAACCTAACGTTAGCTGGTATAATGTTAGTTTTTTTGTTTGTTTGTTTGTTTTTAGATGTTCACCTGCTGTGGAGGCAAGTTTCAAAATCAAGATATGATGGATCATACCTATAGTTTTTTCATCAGAGAAAGGAAAGAGACACCACTACAGCAGCATCAACTGCTCTACAACTCAACTCTCACTGTCATCGGACAAATGTTTCACTCACTCATTGACTAATCTTAAACTCCTTTCACCAAGTTCTACAACCTTCTCCAGCATAAATAAATGTGGAAACATATTGACAGTTGAGGTAACAACAGAGATGAACCACAGCAGAACTACAGCAAGACTTGTTTGTCCTACAGCGACCACCATAACTAGGATTTTTCACTTGAACTGAGCAGCATGTGAAAACAACTCAACTGATGAAGTCTGCTATCTATTGACATCTAGTGGTGAGCTGTACCTTTAAAACATTAAATTCTGCCAGGTTCTATGTCATTAATCTCTCTGGCTTCATGAGAAAAGTAAAATGGTACACAGACACTGTGAAAATAATTAAATTCACCCAAGTTATTTGTGCTGGAAAGGTCTGTTTGGAGCTGGGAATGTTTATACCTTATTCCATTTCTTTCATATAACATAAACATGACTTGTGACAGTTACTGTCATTTGCATTATTGTTGTGTGTCCCTAAACTGTTGAGGCAACAAATGAAAATAAAAGTTTTCTCTACGACAATCTCAGAAAACCTTCTTTCATATTCTGCCATAAACAATTTAACTGTTCTCTCTCTTTTTGTTATTTGTGTTGTTTGATGTGTGGACATACTGCAAATCGATTTCCCATTGGGGGCAATGAAGTTACCACTGACTATATAATTATAAAAAGAATAAATACACAACTTTGATATTTATGTTTAATGATTTTAAAGTTCTTACTTTTTAATAGTGGGGTTTATAATGATGATTGAGTATGACAATCTGATTGTTGGGAGTTTAACTCTTGCCAGTTACTTATTAAGTGTAAATATAGCTGCACTCGATTTGTGGTCTGACTGCCAGTCATTATATAACAAAATTATATAACAATGGTTCATCATATTATACATATGCTTTTGCAGTCGGTTTAAAAAGTCATCATTAAAAGTTATACAGAAAAAAACGGTATGCTTTTAGACAAATAAATCTTTACTTTCCGTAACATTTAATGGGAGAATTACCTTCATGCGAAATCTTCACTTGGTCAGGCATCTTTTCATAAATCGCCAAATCCTGAAAAACGACGTTTTACCGTAATGTCAACTGAGAAACACACTCTGGAGAATTATTAGGAAATAAAATCTAACATTTCAGATATTGAGCTAACGTTTAACAGAGCCCTATAAAAGCACTGCGAAGTGGGAAAAACAGAGATAAGTTAACTATAATTCACCATTATCATCCTCGATATGTCTTTGCAGTCTTCCTTCGCAGCACGCCGTATTTTGAAATTCATGTCTACAGTAATTGCAGAGTTTCAGGGTTGTTTTTTTTGCCAGTTTTCAGCTCTAAAAAAGCTACGCGCTAAAAAAAAAAAAAAAAAAAGTCTGTACAGGAAGCGGCTACGCCTTGATACTTCCGCCTTCAAAATAAAGGTCAAAATAATTTTGGAACTTTAAAAAATATATTATTTATTTATTTATTGATTGATTGATTTTTATTATTATTACCGTTTTGTATGCCTTTCGATTTGGATAAGGCAATAAGTCTTTATATGAGCCCCATTTTACAACTACCAACAACAAAATTTCGCACAATTAGGAGCACTTACGTGCATTTAAAATAGTACAAGTACAAAAATATCCGCCTGCTCCTTTTCAAACAAACCGCACACAAAGACAGTAAAAAGTAAACCTCCAAAGTAAAAGTTGCAGTAAGTGTTGAACCACATAAATGAGCAAATTGCTTAAATATGAACAAATTTCATAAGTTCGTACTTATACTTTTGTTTGTTTGTTTTTAGGGTGCTTAGTCATTTTTTCTTGAATATCATTTTTAAAAAGTTAAACTACTGGTTTTTCTTGTTCTTTAGTTGACAGATATTGGATTTTTAACCTGTCAACTTATATGACACGTCAGAACACAACAGGCTTTATGGGGCCCTAAAAAAAACAAACAAACAAAAAAAAAAAAACCCTGAAATTAAAAGTTTGTGAAAACAGCTAATGGGAGTGAGCTCCCACTATTTTTTCTATTTACACTGAGCCCCCTTTAAAGGCTCAACAAAAAGGTTATAGATAAACCCATGGACAATTACAACCATTCAGCCATACATGGCTTTCCAACTAAAACAACAAATGTTAATGTTCTTATTTTATTTATGGTACAGTCAAAAGCTTCAAGAAATTTAAATATTGAAATTTTTTCTCCTATTGTGATAATAGTCACCCGAAGTGACAAGTGAGCTCAGTCAAAAACATTAAAATTAAAAATTAAAAAAAAGATTATGTATATGTACACGTGAATCACAACCCTCATCACACAACACAGGAGACTAGCTGTGTGAAAGTAATAGAAAGATATTAAAAGTGTCCAGTATTTAAACTACTGTATTTGCTTGTGTATGTGGTTCAGCTCTTAAATTTACTGAAAGAATTCTAATAGGTGCAGCTTTTACTTTGGAGGTGAACTGCCTCAACGTTTCATTTTCACTGTATTTGAAAACTTTAACAGCTGCAAAAGAATTGTACTTCTTTCACCGTTTTTACTTTCAAAGGTCTAATAAAAGTAAAACAACGCAGTTGTGGCCTCTATTTTTCTTTATTGACTTAAGCAAAGAAAAGCCTTTAAAATTCATATTTACCACAAAGTAACACTATATGTCATCTCTATAAATATTGCAGTATATAAAACAAAAGGCATTATTCTGCAGTTTTCACTTGCTGACAGAAATCATTCTGCATTCAGTGACCTTTCGCTCAACATTTCAAATGCAGGATTGAATCTTTTTTTAAAAACTTTTTTATGGGTACTTTGAATTCAAACTAAGTTTTGTTGAGGCTGAGTCTTTTTTTGCAGGTTATCTTATAACCTTTGGGCTTAAAGCTGCCTTTCATTACACATTAGACCCATTTACACACAATGTAGCAGCAAACTTGATTTATACAAATTCATACATATTTTCCTCAAATTTAATGCAAGTTTGGAGTTATATATTTAAATTTCATCTGAAAATATAAAGAGTACAAAAAAAATTGGCAAGCTGTAATTAAAATAGCCAAGTTTTTATGTGACTAGAGCAGAATCCCTCTATTGTAGCATTTCTGTTGTTTGTCCTCACTGTACTGCACCTTTTTCATTTATTGCACTGACTTGGTGCCCATGTGGATTGTTTTGCAAGCTCAGATATTGGATGTTGGCAGCAATTTACAAACTCTGAGAGCCACCCATACCAAAAATGACAATACCAAAGAATCACTTAAAATGACAACAGAAATGTAAAAATCACATACAGTTGAAAGATTTCATAAAAAATCATTTATTTTAAGGTAAAAAAGAAACATGAAATCAATTTGAATATAAGCTGAAACAGTGAAGATGTCACAGATTGGTCGGTTTTCATCGGGCATCAACATATTTACCTCTGGTCACATTTTCTCTCAATCAGTCAAGAGTTCAGATATTGCCCCCTCATATCACCTCAGAGGTTGCCCCATTAAGTTCAGCCCAAACAAATCTCCTTGTGTGCTCAGGTGCTCCAACTTGATAGGAATCTCCACTACTCATACAAGTCTCAGTGTGGCGACTGTGTGCTTGCTCCAGGAGACTCGGACCGTTCCAGCTTCATCCCTCCATCTAGTGAACTTGAGGAGATTGAGGTGGGTAGCACAGAGCTCTTAGTCTCCAAAGACGACGAGGCAGACGAGGGAAGAGACACGACTATGTACTTCTGCAGAGGTCGTGAAGCTGTCAGTCCAGGGCCACTGCCAGGCTCCAGTTTTACCAAAGGCTGCAAGGTAGATGTAGCACTGGGAACAGTACTAGTTACTGGTGAAGCTGACTGTGAAGAGCTGAGAGTTATGACCTGACGAGAGACAAAAAACATGCAAGCAGTTGTAGATTTTATTAGAAGTCACAATCATCAACAGCAATCTTTATTCAGTAAGTTTTGTCACTGCGTTTCCATTTTGTAACACTAAGCATTTATAAAATGTCAAATCTAGCACATTATCATGCCAATATGAAGGTCAAGTATATGAGAAAGGCTTTGTGGCTTTATGGAAAAACAGTTTATACAGATTTTCTGTAGTGGTGGTAAAAAACTAAAATCACCTGCTGAGTTGAGGCAGCTCCTGCACTGGTTGCCATAACAATGTACTTAGTAGCTGGAGGAGATGGCTGTGATGGGGTACCAGGTCGTGGCGACATCAGTGTGAGGGAGCTTGGGACCTTAATGATGCTGGGAGTGCGAGGACCTGATGACCCACTTAGCCCGCTTTGTGAGACTGAAAGGGTGGGACGCGGCTGAAAGAAAGTGTCATTGTTCATTATTAAACGAAGGCAAACGTACTAGTTACCAATAGCACTTGTAATAATCTTAATATGCCATTTTAATTTCGAATTCTCTTATTACAGATAAGTATTTTAAAATATACATTCATTTACATTTTAACAGCCACGTAAATGGAGTGGTGAAAATCTTCATTCTATTACCTCAGACGTCTGTCAAAGCTTAAGCCTTTTTTTCCCCAGGCATGACTTGGAAACTGCCATCATGCTTTTATAACCTCACCCTTGGTTTACTCTAACTCCCTTTTAATAAAGGTTAGCCAGGGAACTCTGGTGCAACTGGTGCAAAATGCTGCCGCACGGATTTTAACTGGTGAAAGAAAATTTGAGCATTTTACTCCAGTTCTGGCCTCCTTACACTGGCTTCCAATTGAATTTAGAATCCATTTTAAAACCTTTTTACTGGTTTTTTTTTTTTATCCTTAAATGGTCTGGCGCCCGTATATGTGTCCGACCTGCTGAAGCCCTATGTCCCCCCTCGTTCACGCCGGTTAGCCTGAGCAGCTGTTGCTCTCAGTCTTGGCTGAAACTTAGAGGAGACTGAGCATTCTCTATTGTTGCCCCGAAGCTTTGGAATCATCTTCCTCTTCACATCAGGCAATCTTCTTCAGTGGTGGTCTTTAAATCCAGAATCAAAACTTATTTTCATTCCCTCCCTTTTGAATTAGCGGGTAACTGACACTGTTATTTTGTTGTTAATTGTAAATTAAAAATAATGATAATTATTCATATAGTTTTACTTATATACTTTTAGTATTTCTGCTGTACAGCACTTTGGTCGGCCGTGTGTTGTTTTTAAATTGCTATATAAATAAATGATGGTATGGTATAGGATAATTTGGTGATAACTGGGTGTAAGTTATACCTGAGTGATTGTTAATGTCGTTCTGTTGACTTGCTGAGCTTGCAGTGCTGCTTGAGTCCTGGCCTTCATTACATGGGAGCAAAGCATGGGTCCGAGATAACCATATTCTGTGCGATACTGCTCCACGTTGTCAGGCTGAGATCGCAATTTGGCAATAACACTGGCACAATGTTTCTTTGTAAAAGGAGAAGGGAAAACAAAACACTTTAATAACAATCTCAGGGTTTATGTAATCTGTTTGGACTGCTCTAGTTTACAAACTAATGCATGAGACTCAGAAAAGTTCATATATTACCAGTAGGAGGCTTTGAACATGTTCAGCTCCTATCTTATCGATATTAGAGATCACAGGTCCTTCCATCACTGCTTTGATCCGAGCACCTTCTACAGCAAGCCGAGGAATTATCAATGTCTTTATCACCTACAGAGGATAAAAGATAAAAAACAGCAGGTTGGTTTCACTGCAACAGACAGAACAAGAAGAAGAGGGAACAAAACCCCACTCACATCTGGTCCCAGTTCTGCAAGTCCAGCGATGCAGCCGTACCGTGTCGTCCACTGCGTTTTATCATCCAGCCAACTCTGGAAGAAGAAAAAAAAGAGTGGATTCATGTGTTTTGCTGTGTTTTCCTACTTGGTGTTTGATTGCCTGTTCTGAATCAGTCCAAAAAAGCTACAAAGCCTCCCTGTGAATCACATGAGAATTTCCAACTGTTGTGTCCTGGACTAGAGGATACATTTGTGAGGTAAAGGTTTATTATCGAACTGTTACTACGTAAGAATGCAAAGCACAAAGAAAAGCTTCAGAGCGCTTCAGTCGCAACAGGAGATTACCAAGTTCACACCTGCTTAAACAACGCTCACAAAACAGGGCCAGTAAGATTCCATCAGACTAAAGAGCAAAAGGGTAGATACACCCTTAAACAACATTAAAATACAACTAGAATTTGTTTGTTTTTTTACAAATTGGCAATGACATATTTGGTTACTGATTATTATTATTAACAATTTTAAGACATACTTGCACAACACAGCTTGATGCATACCTGCATTTTTACACTGTCATCAATTAGATTTTGAGAAAATGTGAAGCTATTTAGTTTAACTTCTGACAGACAAATTAACACCGCCTACACTACACCATGTGCACTTCACAGT